GGAGATTTGCCAAAAAAAAAAAAACAACTTTTGTCAGTATTTACCAAATCTCCACTTTTGTCTATTACAACAAAAAAACAACTAAAAATGCATGTTATAACAAAAGGTATTTATGCAAATAGAAAGAGAATTTAGCATCTTATTACAAATGTCTCAAATTTAGGTGGTTCGAGAAACACCGCCTGGGAAGTATTTCTCCATTTCACAACGTTCTCAGATGCAGATTTTAATCCTAAAATATAAATTCAAAAAATACCAAAAGTATGAAATTTTAATACCAAACATAAACCAAAAAAGGCGACAACGAAACCACGTCACTCACCAAAATGCTTGCCCGCAAATGCAACTGACAAGGTTGCAACCGCCGTTCTTCTCGACTGGCTTGTGACACTTGGGACAAGGTTTGGTGTGCACCGTCATCCAATTCACTGTTTCGGACTCGTCACGGCATTTTTTCGCCCAAAGCTCCCACATTGAGCACGAGCAGGGGGAATGGGCCTCTGACAGGCAACTGAAACAGAACTGCAGGCCGCAAGAGCACTCCACCTCACACATCTCTTCATTCTCCACGCGTATTGCATTCCCACAGTGGGGCACACTTGGGCACCACTTGACCATGCGGTTGTCCTCGATGTACGACTCGATAAGAAACCTTTCGAACTTCTCTGCTAAATCAGGGTGGTCCACACTGACTAGCTTTCGGACGATGGCTTCATCGCATATGGCGTTGCATTTGTGAGCCATGCACTTGATCCTCTTGCTTTGGCCCTCATTTATCTTGACTATGAAATGTTCTGTCCAGCCTGTCAAATTTTGCAAAAATTTTGAACCAGATGTTAAACCAAATTGTAGCGAATTAAAATGTTCAATACAAAAATGCCAGAATTATCAATGCACAATTTCATTCTCTCTGACACATTTTAGGAAAAAAGAAAGCCATCCATTAAATTTGTCACTTTAGGAAAACCGAGATGAATTAATTGCATATTTTCTTGAATGGTGGGTGCGTTAATGTTAATCAATTCACGTGTCCTTTTCTCAATAGCAATAGCAATTGATTCAAAAGCCGAATGATTATAATATATATATATATATATATATATATATGTGTGTGTGTGTGTGTGTGTGTGTGTGTGTGTTGGAGTTTTGTAGCAAAAAAAATTAACACATTTTATTAAATTTGGAAACACAAAAACATCAATAACTGTCTTTCCTAAGCCATGTCAGAAAAATAAAAAAATACGACAAATTAAAACAAAATGGAATCTATTATTCCCTAAGTTCTGAAAATGAGTCCTAGTAATAAGTTTCTTACAAGAGTTGCAAAAGCAGTGGCCACAGTCCATTTTGGTCAAATCTTCCGAGGGCACTTCATCCATGCAGATGTTACACATCACTGTGGAGGAAGATTCTGGTAGATCTAGGTCGTTAAGTTCGACCCCGGTCACACCAGCTTCTGATAACATGCAAGATTTCCCTTTATCGGAGAAAACTTCACTCAGTTTATCAACGTCCCACCTGTAATGGATCAGAAGGGTCCGGGCGTGGTGTTCTCTCACTGATAGCAAATCCATTACCCTTCGCAAATCTTCCCTCTGCAAATCATAACCTTTGATTGAATTATGCACAATGCCTGGGGGCTAAGGTTTTCAATCAGCCAACCGAACCAAATTATTAGTTAACTGAAAGTTACTAAGCTTAAAAAATTAATCTGAATACTGAGCCCAATTAATCAATTCAGTTCAAGGTAAAACCAACCTTCTGGAATAATTTCAGAAACCATGCTCAAATAACTATTCGAAACAAACGAAATAGAGATAAAACTGAAAGATGGCAATTTTCTGGGAATCCGTCATCATGATCTCAGATTTCTCTTCAATGTGTTCATTTATAGATGGCAAGAGGCGAAGACAAATTCGGCACAAATAAAAGGTAGCTTAACCAGGGCATATTATCCACATTCAAGAAAGATGTCCACAATTACAACAAGAAATCTTCGATTACCTGAGCAGCCAACAGAGACTCTTTTGTAATTATCTGCAAACAGCACAAACAATCACCAAATGTGTACTCAGTAAACAAAAGGCGCCAAATTGAAACGCAATTTAGGACTAACCATAAACCACATATGAAATAAATAAACAAAAAAATCATGAAACAAAACCAGATTATCAAAATAACTTAACAACATCACACGAAAACAAGGTAACCCCTCGTAATCATCAACCCCCACAAACAAGCCAGAGAACAAAAGGCAACACCAGTCTTCAAGGGCATTGAATAGCATCAATCAGATACTGCAGAAACTATCACAAACAGCCCACAGCGCGCACATACCTTTGAAGACGGAGCTTTGGACTGGGCCCACCGATCATCGGACTCATCGTTTTCGAGCCCGTCGAGCGACTCCGCCTCTTGATCGGACCCATAGTAATCCTCCTCCTCCTCCTCGCTGCCGCCGCTCATGTAATAATCATCATCACCCATGATTCGATTACTCTAACCGACTAAATCCCACCACTACAAAGATGACTTCATGCAGAAATTCAGACGGAACGAGCTACGATCGGCGTCTTCTCCGGGCGAAGGAGATCTGATCTCGGAGGATCGATAGGATGCAGCTTTCCCGGCAAAATTCCGGCGATTACAGAGAGAGAGAGCAGACGTTTTGCAGAAATATTATGGGGAGGGTTTTCGTGCGGTGGGGCGAGCTGCTTTATTCATTGAATACAGTGCTAAATACGGCGTCGTTTTATGTAACCTTTAAGCGTGAGGTTTCCGTGAACACGGCGTCGTGTTCCGGTAATTGTGTCGAGGAAGGTTTCTTTGAATACGGCGTCGTTGTGAACCTTTTTTTGTTATTTTTACCTTTATATATAATTTTAGAACGCGATGAGCTAAGGGTCAGTTTCGCAAATTTCGTAATTTTACATAGCGAAATATTATACTTTGTAGTATAGCTTAGATAAAAAAAAAATAATTTTTTTATGACAAATAATATATGTTCGCATTCCCATATATATACACATATGTAATATATTTCAACCATTCCATATTAATATATTTATTATCTTCATTCTATAATTAAATATAGTCTTACTTTTCAAATTTGGTGTTGCCTTCATATTCTTCCCTTATGTTTTTTTAAATAAAAACTAGTATTTACTCGTGCGATGCACGGAACATAAATATTAAATGAGTTACTTTTCATGCACGGGACATAAATATTAAATGAATTATTTTTGTAGACTCTGTCCATTTAAGTATAAGAAGAATAGGGTTATCATCTATTTTTTTAGATTTTTTAATCAATGTTAAGTATAAAAAACAATATATTTGTAATATATTTTCCACCTCTTTTAATCAACGTTGTTTTTTAGCCAGAACATTAAATATAAACATGGTAAGACTTGTTTGTAAAATAATTAATATATTGTCTCACTAACAATTTATACTAATATAAATTTGATTTCAGTATATATATTTATTTTTTGATATAAGAAAAAATAACAATTTTACTTATTATGGTCCACCATATATTACTTAATTATTAATTAACTATAAACATTGTTGTCATATGATGTCATAATTATTTATAAAAGTTATAAAAGTTGCACGTTAGTATTATATATAATGAAAGTTGCACGTTAGTATTATATATAAGTTGCACGTTAGTATTTTTGATAAAAGTTGTACGCTTTTTTTTTTCTATTTTATATAATGAAAACTATTTAATGCACGTTAGTATTATATATCTATGTAATTAATTTATAATATGTATTTCAATTTATAATTAAACAGTGTATCAATATTTTACAAAATATACACAGGCGTTTTATTAGATTTTAATTTGTATACTAATTAAACAACTTTGATTTATCAAATGCCAAAGACTCAATCTTTTCTACAATCAATATTTTCTAATTTTCATAAGAATTTATAGTTTATTTATCATACTCCGCAATGAAAATATATTTTACAAAAATTTCACTGTAAAAAAGAATCGAAATAAAAAAATGATAAAAAAATAGTTATGGTTGCCAATAATATACAAATAAATTCTAGAACAGTTAATATATTTCAATTTTGATTTTATCATTAGTAAAACTATTTAATGTAACTGGTCAATATCTACTAAATGACAAAATTAATTAATTTGAAGAATAATTTATTATATATATATATAACGAAATAAAACTTAAGTAAAAATTATATTAGCAAATATTACTTCACCAACTTAATACGCCTGATTTTTTGGAAGAAAAAAATTATATCTAACCTGTTACGATTTTCTATAACTATTTTTAGATAAAAATAAACATTTGTGAAAAATAATTGATATTATAGTTAGAACATAAAATATGTCGTAATATTTATCTTGACCAAAATATTATCAACATAATGATGAAAAATCAATCTTGTAATTTATTATAATGGATATCAGTAAAATTATTGCAAATATTAATTATTTAAATAATAATATTTTTTATTATATTTGATTTGATCTTACTTGAAACGTGTATATGGAAACAATTAATTCATATATTTAAAAAGTTTTTTAAAAAAATGCATTAAATGCTTCTAAATTTTTTTACTCCTATTTTTAGTAAATGGTTTTTCTCATCCTATATACTAGTACAGAGCCCGTGCGATGCACGGGGTGCACAATTTTAAGGCCATATATCCAGCCTTATAATTATATAAATGAATAAAAAAAGATGTACGGGGATATATATAGTACGTGACCTGTGCGAGACACGGGATATATTCATTTGAGGAGTATTATAATTTAATATGCAATATTCAATAAAATTTGTACAATACACAGGAAAATTGTACAATAAAATAGTATTAAAAAAGAAACAATCATATATTATTAAAAACCTCCTTGTACACAACATTATGAGTTTGATTATCGGGTAACTCCTCATTCTCACAAACTAATATCTTCAACCCCCTTGTATTAGTCACACGCAAAACAACAACATATAATTGACCATGACTAAAGACATGCTTCTTAAGACCAACGTGGGATAAAGACTGTCCCTGACACATCATACTAATATTTATTTGATTTTAGAATACATATTTGTTCATTGATATAAGAAAAAATATAAATTTTATTAATTATTGTTCACCATATAATACTCAATTATTATTTTATTATAAAATTTACATTCATATAATGTAATTATTATTTGTAAAAGTTATAGAAGTAGTCTTCTTTATGTATTTTGAGTATAAATGTTTACAAAATACACACACATATTTTTTAGAATTCAATTTTCTAAAAAAAATAATTTAGCAATTGCCAAAAAATAAATCCCTTACATAATCAAGAGATTTTTTCTAATTTTCATCTTAAGACTTTATAGTTTATTTAACATACTATGCAATAGAAAAATATTTTACAATAAGTTCATTTTTGAAACATAACAAAAAAAAAAGTGATAAAAACACTATCATAGTTGACAATGATATACAAATAAATAACATGTCAAAATTTTAAAGAATAACTAATATAATTTTATTATCTAACCAACAATAAAATCATTTAATGATGTGATTATTGTCTTCTAAATAATAAATGATATTAATTTTCTTAAAAAAATATTAGTATTATACAATTAAATAAAGGTTAAAACATATTACTCGACAAATATTAATTATAATGGATATCAGTAAAATTATTGTATAAATTATTTAAGAAAAAAATCTTTAAGATCATATTTGGATAATAAATGTAAATATGCAAGCATTTAATGCATATAGTAAAAAATTTCCAAATAAAGTATGCATTAAATGTGTGTTGACTTTTCTTGTTACTGTTTTTGGTAAATAGGTTGACTTTTAATATATATATATATATGTATATATATATATATATAGATTAGATGCATTAATTAAATGCTTGATAAAAATAGCAAATCATTAATTATGGTTGACTATTCTACATACTACATTTAGTAAATAGTATAGCTTTTAATATAAGTATAGATATAATGATAAAATTAATGAGGTATATTAATAAGTTTCAATTTTTTTTTAAAAAAAAAGTATTAATTCACTTAGTTATTTATTATAAATTGCTATGTATTGTTCTTTATTTATTTTTTTCAATTCCAACAAAATATATATATTTTTTATTTTGTATTGTACATTTAATTATTTTATCAATCACCACGTATTGTACTAGTTTTTTTATGTGAAACAGTAGTCCAATATATCAGTTACTAATTATTATTCCTAATCCTATGTGAAAAATTAGTCTAATATATCAGTTATTGATTATTATTCCTAATCATATGCAATCGATTCATTAAATAGTATTTAGAATCTCCAATTCTATTTAGTTGTAGTTTAATAATTACTTCAAATAACAATAAATTAAATGTAAATCTACATACATTAACGATAAAATAAACTTGATATAAAATCACTTTATCGTAAAATTTATATTTATCCAGTGATATTCTTTAATTATCAATTCTTACTAGTATTAATACCCATTTACAATATAAGTGTTGAGTTAATGAATATATGTGTAAAGTTATTTGTGTCTAATACCAAACCTAACTCCAGAGCAAAAATAATATAAACACAACATCACGAAGCATAGATTTTCGTCATGTCAGCATCCGAAGCGTGAAAATCTGCCACCTAGGCTCAACACGTTTTGAATTAATATATAAGATAAGAAGGGATTTGCTAACTTGTCATATTTAATTATTAGCTTTTCAAACAATACAATCTACGTATTACGCCATAAAAGTATTAATTAATAGCTTTTCAAACAATACAATCTACGTATTACGCCATAGAACTACTAATTATAGATTTTGGCTTTAATTACAAAAAAATACTTTTAATTAATAACTCATAGCGAAAATAATTATATAAAAATTGGTTTTTGCTTTCAAACAAATTTATTGATCCAAATAAGTAAACTAAGTTCATATAATTTACCTGATCAGCAGAAAAAGTGAGAAAGGGGTAACAACAGTAGGTCAATGACATTTCCCCAAAATAACAACACACTACATTACAAATTTTGCTAAGTTTACAGTTCATCTCTACCATTTTCAAGCCAAAGGCTCACAGCTTGAAGCAAACTAACAGTGAAGTACATTTTCATGAAATTACGCTCACGAAAATCCAAAGCATGAAGAGAGAAAGCACTAATATCGACTCAGTCTTACCGATTCAAGACCATATGCTAATTCTTTTTCCCGGTTGTCCACCATTTAGTGCCAATCATTGCAAAACTTCGATAATAAAGTACAGATTGTGTCGAGCAAGATGCCCAAATTGGGAGGGTTTGGCAAACTGTAAGATAAGAAAT